TGCAAGTCACTGCGTTCGTGAACTTGCTGTCCAGAGAGGGCACTCACAACTAATTATAAGAACTGTCATAACAGAGGGACAAAAGACTGGCCTTGATGGCTCAGGATGGGAACAATGACATCCCACTGTGAGAACAGGAAATGCTTTGTGAAAGATGAACCAATTTCCTGGGGTCCTAAAAGATAGCTGAGCTTCCAGCAGGTGAAGATCACTAAAAGAAGTATTTCAGCCAGAGGGCTAAGGGAAGCAAAAGCAGAAAAGCAATGAAGTACTAGGCTAGCTTGCAGAACAGAGTGCACCCAACTGGCTGAAGTGTCAGGTGTGTGAATGTCAGGAGAAAACTCAAGGAGAGGAGGCATGCCATTCTGTAAGGCTGCCTTGCATGAGCTCAAGAGTGTTCTCTTAATTTAATAGACAATGGGAAGAAGTCACAAAATGTTTCTGTGTCAAAGAATGACGTGATCTGAGGCATGCTTTAAGAAGATTAATCCAGCAGCATTATGTAGGGTAATTTCAAAGGCAGAAAGAATGGGGGCAGAGAAACTAGTAAGAAAGCAGATGCAATCATCTTGGGCAAAAGATAATAAGGGATTGAACGAGGACGATAGAGATGGAAGCAGGGAGTTGATGGATGAGAGAGACACTGCAGAGATAGAAAGCTGACAGGATTTGACAACTGTAAGTATAAAATCCTTCACACAAGTGTGTATCATTCTTATTTGCTGTTACTTAAGGTAGTCAAAATTTGCAGGCCATCTGTCATTGGTGCTAAGAATTCAGTCGGATTTTATCCTCACTTAAAGTAGGTTGCCATAAACCCAGAGACATCAAGCTCACAGGGTTGTGCTGCAGGGGATTGTCAAAGACGAGCATGACCACAGTTAGTCACCTATGGAGCGCAGCGCCTGAGACAGCATCAGCCTTCTACCCCCAACACCTCCCTAAGCGGTACACCTCAGTAGTATCACTGAACTGCATCACTGCATTCATGAGTTGTCCAAGGTTCCAGAAGGGCTGTGTTGCACTCAGAGACAAACCTGCTTCAGAGCTGCCCCCAGGGCAAGCCCAGATTTCAAGCAGGGGGGCAGAGTATGGGCTTGAAAGGACAGGAAGCAGGACATTGCAGTTCCCAACACAGAGCAAGTAGCAGATGCACAGTAAATGAATGAAAGAATGATTCGATAACTGAACAAATTGCAAGATTTCTAGAAAGTTCAAACTTTCCGTGAAAATCTCAACACCAGTTACCCCATCCCTCTACCAGCATCCTAGCAGCTCCCATCTTCTGAAGCACCCCAGAAAAACTGAGCTCTCTATGGTTTAGTCACAGCTTGAGAAATGACCCCAACTCCAGGGGAGAGAAGCAGGGAAGAGGTAAGAGGGAGGGAAGAGCAGGGATTTGCATAGATGTAAATCCAAACCTGCTCCACCTCCACCAAGAGTAGCGAGAAGCACTGCATACATTAAATAATCATTTTTTAATTTAAGTTGGTAAAGCATTTGGGAATATCAACAGTGAGAACGACTCTCACAACCAAATAATAGTCAGGGCGCCCACCACAGTGACTACTTATGTCTCAACACTTGTTTCCTTCCTTATCATCTCTCTGTTGCTTCAAGCCCCGATTTGATGAATCTCTGCACCAGAAAAAAAAAAAACTTATTAAAATTATGCTGTCAAACTGTGTAATTTTACTTTATCTTGCTTTTAGCTATTTGCCAAAAAATACTTCCTCCCCAGACCCAGAACTCCAAGCTTGGAAACAACACCTGCCTCAGGTCCTTCTGCTTCCTACTTGTGCAAACAGAAGTATCTCATATAATAGTGAGGTCTTCAAAGGTTCAGAGAGAGAAATCTCTTGTTGTTCCCCCTTCTCTAACTACATACAGGTAGTTAGAAAGCAGATACATACACAGATACCATACACAGGAGGCATTTTGAGGGTGAAAATTTACAGTGATCAGAATTCTGCCAGATCACATCCCAGAAGCCCCTGGGGCCCGTGGGAAAATAAGAGAAACACACATGAAAGAGACTTTGATCTTTATCAAGTTGTGGCTGCATCACTGATCTCGGGTCTGCAAATGAACTAAATGGAAGAAATTCAGGATCTTCCAAGGAGACCCTACATGAACCTGGACCATGAAAGGTAAGGAAACTAGCCAGTCTTCAGGTAAAAGAGGGCCATTAGCAAGAGGAGATGGTACTCTCCCTGGAGATCATGTGGCCACTGGTGAGACTTGGCCTTCAAGATAGACGAGACAAAACTATCCCAAGGTGGCACCAGTTTTAAGAATGAGTTGGTGAAAGTGCCTTTAGGAAATCCTGCCAGGCAGTGCTGGGGCAGAGGAACCAGGACAAGAGGTTTGGGGGTTTAGAAAGCAGTAGCAGCTAAACCAATTGTGTTGGTGAATGTTAGTGAAACTAAGATAAGGAATCAGCACTCTGATCATATTCATCTCCTCAACCCTGAAGTGTTGTTAGCTTTGGATTTGTTTCTCCATGCATTTCCTAATAAGATTACTTTGGCAAAAGTCCAATCTCACTTCAGCTGAATGAAGGGATGTAAGGATGCAGACAGATGGACTAACCGTAACCAACAGAGACCAGGCTACTCCCCAGCCACTTGGAGGACTGGTCACCATGGCAGCTGCTTAGGTAGAAACAGGGTGGAGTTGGTAGGAGATAAAAAAGAAATACAAGAGCTGGAGGCTAGAGATCCTGTCATTTTGAGATGCTCCTTATCCCCTCTTAGTTGCTGTAGTCTCTCACCCTTGTTGACTACAATGAAGAATGTAGGCGGGGCCCTAAGGAGAGAGGTCAGCGTCCTAAGCACTACTGCATTCAGACAGAATCAGGCTCAAGAACTTGCTCAGTCACACTTTGCTGAGTAATCTTAGATATGACATTGAATACCTCTAAACCTGATTTTTTTTTTTTTTGTTAAAAGGGAGCAGCATTAGTGTCTACCTCATGCTATCTTTGCTAGAATTAAATGAGATAATATATATAAAAGGTGAGTGGAATTTTACTGCCTGGTCAGCCCTTCAGCCTTTCCCTCCTCTTTTAGGGAAACACCCCCCCCACCCCAACACTCTCACCATGGCATCCTTATGGGAATTGCTACCTTTTAACATGACCTTGACCATAATGACTGACGAAGGGGCACTCACCCTTTCCAAGTGTACCAAGCACAGATACAGCCAATAACTCTAGTCATTGGTCCCAGGATGAACACGGGTCCAGAGCAAGTTATGGGACTCTTCAGAAGAGACAGGACGTGCAGAAGTTGAAGTCTCTGGCCCCAGTCACCCTGCCTTTCTGTGGTTTGACCATGTGCTGACTTGAATTGTGTTTATGCAACCAAAAGAATCCTACATTGGCCAGACGTGGTATGTTTAAAGTGACAGATTATAAAATGTGGAACTGGTTGAGTTAAAGTCAGGTAGTTTTAATGAAAGTCTGTAAATTCTTTGACCGGCCAAGAGATGGGTTTTTATTCCCTGTCCTGGGGAGGGCTTAGTGACTGCCTTGATGAATGGAATGTGGTAGAAATGACACCTTATGGCTTCTGAAGTTAGGACAGAAAGAGTCAAGGAGCTTCTGCAATTTCTGTTGGGACACCCACCCGGGGAGCCTTCAGTTGCCATGAAAGTTCAGATCCACAAGGCTTTGGAGAGAGACTAAGAGGAGAGGGAGGTGCCTGTGAATCCCAAGCAGTTCTGGCCCCAGCCACTGGGATCTTCAGCCCAGGTGCCCCTCACGGGATGAAGAAGACTTTGAGAAGACTCCAACCCCACAGGTACTCTGAGACCATGTGTGAGGACTGCCTAGATGAGCCCAGTCATCCCCAGAATCATGAGATGATAAATGATTGCTACCACTGGTGTAGGGTGATTTGCTGTGCAACAACAGATACACCAAAGAGCAAAAGGCAGTTGGTTCCCTTCATTCTGACTGCAATCTTGGGTAAGAATCAGTTAAGCTGTTTGTTAAATGATTACCTGCTGTGTCTGGGGACTCATTCCAATGAGACTAGAGCTTTAGGGACTTGGGTAAGCTGTGAAAAATTAAATGTTCATATTGCAAATAAGCTGCAGGATCATTAGACGCTACATTTGGAGTTGATGAAAAGGAATGGACATCACCCAAGTTGTGGGACTGTGGGGTGGTAGAGAAGCGGACAAGTTCATATGGTGCTTGAGTCCCTATTTATTGATGTAACAGCTTCTCTTTTATCTTATACCTATTTTCCACCACTATTATCAGCCAAAACTTCACTGCCAAAGCTGTTTGATTTGATTATGTGCAACCAAAAGAATCTTTAACACAGTTTCAGGGACACAGAAAGCTGCCAACAAATGTTTTTCACACGTATGTTTCCCACTGCTGTGCTTCCAGCAAGAAGAAGCAAAGTCAACTATGCGTGAAAAAAGTCCACGCTCCTGTAGCAGTCAGACCATGAAGTCAGCTGACCTGTCACCCTACTGGGAGCCCTTCAAATGTAGGGGTGCCCAGCTCCCAGCCCAGATCCCTGAATGAGGGTTGTTAGGGATGAGGCCTGAGTGCCTTGTGTTGTTAAAATTCTATGAGTGGGCTTCTTTTTAAATAAACACAGGTGTTTTTCTTCACTTCCTCCTAAAATCTGATAAAATGCCTGCAAAAGAATTAAAGAGCTAAAAATATGCAAGAAAAAAAAAACCCAGGAGGAGAGCCAACAGCAGGTGAGAAACATCAATAACATTTTGTCACATGGAAACTATATGGGCACGTCAACAAAGGAAGCTGAATCTAAGTGCCTTCTGGGGGATGCAACCAGAGGCAAGCAGATTTGTACCCCAGGACCCCAGAAAAGTTCAGGCATGCACGATCTTATTATGTACCTCTGAAAGCAGAGGTACAAAGTTGAACTGAAAAGAGGGAGACTGAAACTCTGCCAAAGAAGCAGTTTGTTCCCCAGAGGTGTGCTCCATCCAAACAGCCAGACAAAAACACTCACCCCACTAGACAAAAGAGGAGGTTCACTCTCTGGAGAGGATCAGCGAGCCAGGTGGTAGAGTCTAGGCCATAGGCGCAGGAGGGCAAGACAGTGCATCTAGGAAAAAAGGAACATTAAAATATTGCAGGCTGAATGCAAAGAACATCCTGGCCCCTTCCCTTCTTGCTGCCCAAATGCTAGAACTAAATTTAAATCTTTTAGAGTACACAAAAGGATTTCCCTTTGTAAAAACTGATAGGCCCAAGGGAAATACCCACAGATTAAAAACATGTGGGTGTCCCCAACAAAAAGACTAGTCCCCATTCATCGGCAGCACCAAGTTTTCCATTTAGCTTCTCAGGGGCCCTCACTTAAATATCAGTGAAAGTCAAGGATTCCAGACAAGAGTCCACTATAGGAAGAGACCAAACCAATAGCCAGACCAAAGGAAACTGGGAGAAACAAAGGCAATGCAGAGAATGGAAGAAAACTATTCTAAATAATTAATGGGGACCTCCCTGGTGGCGCAAGGGGTTAAACACTACACTATGAAGCAATCCGCAGCCTCTGCAGCATGAGTTCGATCCCTGGCTGGCCAGGGAGCAACCCACATGGCGAAGTAGACCTCCTCTATCTTGTCCGCTGCTCCCCTCAACAGTGTACTTCGGTCAATCTGCCTGTTATGTTCCCCACTCTGTCTGGTGAATCCTCTCACCCCCCGCATCTCTGGCCTGTACCCCAGTTCTTGTATGCATAAATAATCTTTTAAAAAAACTTTAATGTCTTTACTGATATGAGAAGGCATTACATCAATGAAAAATGCTATTTTTTAAATAAAATTTTTATTGTAGTACCATTTTATTGTAGTAGCATTGTTGTTGGTATTTGGAAGTACAGGATGTCCCCCCGCTCAGGTGTAGTCTCTGAGGCACGCCCACTACCCAGGTGTCCGCAGTACCCCCATAGTCCATGCGCTCTCTTTCCACCTTATTTGAACCCCTCTCCCACCCTCTCTAGATGCCACAGGTCTATGGTCAGCTTTCAAAACTCTGTTTTAAGGTTTGTTTTTGTCTGCCCCTCTGTTTGGTTTCTCTATATTCCATGTGTAAGTAGCACCATCCAGTACTTTTCTTTCTCCTTCTGGTTTATTTCACTTAACATAATCCCCTCCAGTTCCATCCACATTGCAAATGACATGAGTTTATCTTTTTTGATCACTAAGTAATATTCCATTGTGCATATATATCATGTCTTGTTGATCTAGTCATCTGTTTTGGGGGCACTTAGCTTGTTTCCATAGCCTTGTTATTGTAAATCGTGCAACAGGAAACATAGAGGTGCAAGTTTCCTTTCAAATTACTACTTTTGTACTCTATGAGTAGATACCTAGGAGGGAAACTGCTGGATCATATGGGGAAAATGCTTTTTAAGAACCATCTGAGAACAAGAAATATTGTATCAGGATAAAAGTAGATGAAAAAATTGTGAATTATATTTTAATGGAAAATAAGAAAAGATGAATGGTCATTCAAAAGATATTGCAAAAAGTAAAAACATAAAGATATTGATGCCACCCCTCAAAAATAGTACAAGAAAAATTCTTTAAACTGAAGGATGCACACTTCCCTTTTATGAGGGTAGGAGTCAGAAAACCCACTGTCAAAAAACACTGGGTTATTATTCATCTTATCTTACCTGCTTTTGCAAGAAATACATGGAATGATAAATAGCTACTACTTACTGAGGGCTTGCTCTGTGCCAGCATTTACTGTGTTAAATATACATTATATCTCATTTAATCCCTTTAAAGCAGATTAAAAAAACTAACACTATAAAATGTTACATAATTTTATAGGCAAGATTCAACCCAAGACTGTCTATCCTCTTGTTATGCTATGCTATTTCTTGTCTATTAATGCCAACTGTACGTACACACACACTCTCACATACACAAAAAGAGATCTTTATCTGTGCGTCCCTTGCTCTTATTTCTTGGGTGGCTGCTAACATGTTTTATTATTTGCTGCTCTTTGGTTGTTTTTTACTTTTTAGAAAGACTTAGTCCTTTATGTCACTTCGTATTTTCAACTAAATTGGCAATTTTCTGCTTTATTCTTGGAAACTTTGCACAGAGAAATGTAAAAAATAGATCAGTCCTTGGGTCTGTCACACCAAATCATATGGCCCTTTAACCTTGCAGTCATTTCTTAGAAATCAAAACCCTCTAGAAAAGGAAAGTCTTCTCTTTGTCCCTGTTTGATTAGGTAAGGATCTGCTAAGGACTTTTCAGCGATGTAGAAAAGTACAAATACTTGTTCTTTGCATCCTCTGTGAAATGCAGAAGCCAGCTTGGGAGCCAATATTCAAAGATCTTAGGATAGAGAAAAGACTACCTTCACCAAGAAATGTTTTATTTGAAACTACACAGATAGTGTCAATAGTGTCACTTTGGGCTTCTCTCTAAAAAGTGGACTGAGGCACCCTCTCCAAAAAAAGGTAATGACAGAAACATTCAAGACATGTTGGCTATTATGTGACTATTATCCTACATTGGCACTAAAAAGCATTTAAAAAGCCCATAAAATGCCTCAAAGGTTACAATGTTGCTACACAGCAAGAAAAGGACTACCTTCAAGGACACACATTTAGGTGATTTCTTAAGCTCTATCTGTCCATTTGGGTTTCTGAATGTGTGTGTTTCCATAATGTCTCTGAGGCTACCTCACGCTCCACCAAGAGTCTGCATAACCAATGCCCAACTTCTAGCAGAGACCATCTCTTTTGAGTTTCAAAGGTGAAAAGAACAATGAGGGCATCAGGGCTGGCTCCAAGCCACTAAGTACCAGCTGTATGTTGCAGAGAGATCAGAAAACAAGGGAAACATCAAATACCAGGAGAAAAGGCGGTATAATGATGGACCAACTTTCAAGAGTGTCCTGTCCTGTAAAGTGGCTGAAAATAACACTGTGGTAACATGAGAATAATATTTTCTTTTTTTTTTTTTTTTTTTGGTGGGACCCTCGCAGGTGGCTGGGGATCAAACCAGCGCTGCAGAGGCCGTGGGCAGCCTAGCAACCCAGCAGTCAACTGCTCCGCCACCAGGGGAGGCCCGAGAATAATATTTTCTTAAACCACCAAATTACAATTATTTTTATTACTTAAGGGATTACTAGAATCCTGGAAATCACCCGCAGATTGAACTAAATGACAACACAGGTATAGAAGTTATTAAATTATTCCAAAGTGACATTTCACTTGAATGTTTTTAAATTTTGTTCTGTTGCTAAAATAACAAAGTACTTTGCAATTTACCAATTTTTTCACCTCATTTTATTATGTCAAGATAGCTTTGTAGGATGAACATGTCTGCCATGATTTTCTTCGTTTTTCAAAAAAGAAGAAAATTAAGGCCCAGGAAAGTCAAGAGCTATGTCAGAGTTCATATAATTAGTAAGAATAATGGCTAATCTAGTATAGTATTTTACAAGATACAAGCACTTTCAAATTCATTATAATCCATGAACTCTTCCTCACAGTCTTATGAGAATATTAAGACTAGTAGGCTCATCTCTCAGAAGTAAACTGAGACTCTGAGGGATGAGGTTTTCACAGTTGTAAGTTACAAAACCTATCCCACATCCCAAACCTCACCCTCTTCCCATTTGAATTGGAATACAGATCTACTGACTACAAATCCACTGCACTGTCTACTAAACCAATCTCTTGCAGATGATGGAGAAATGAATCCTCTTCATCCTTGACCAGCAACTGTTGAACCAGATAGTTTGCAAGTCTTTTCTAAATGGGGTATTAGAACATTATACCCAAAGGTTAATTTAAATCAATTCACATATAGAAGATGCCATCAAAAATGTAGACATCTTAAGATGTATGTAGATAACCAGTAGTTGGCATTTTATATCCAACCAAGAAAGGTCATGGCTTTAGAAGACCAAAGACCTAAATATATCTTGTAAGGCATGCTGTCACTAAGCTCTGAACCAGGCCAACATACTGAATTGAAAGCACAAAGGTAAAATAGTGTGAGTGACATTGGGGGGGCCTCCCTGGTGGGGCAAGGGGTTAAGTCTCAGCACTATCAAGCTATCACCAGCCACTATGGCCTGAGTTCTGTCCAGCCAAGATGGTGCAGCAGACCTTTCCTGTCATGCCAACTGCTCCCCTCAGCAGTGTATTTCAATAGATCTGCCTGTTCTGCTCCTCATTCTGTCTATGGTGAATACTCTCACCTCCTGCATCTCTGGCCTGTACCCCAGCTCTTGTATGCATAAATAAATAAATCTTGAAAAAAAAAAAGAAAAAGAAAAAGAAAAAAAAGTGACTAGTCACCATCTACAAAATGGCGAGCTGTCCTAAGTACCCTCAGAGTACCCTAAATCAAGATCCAGTATGGGAGACAAGAGTACATCTACTAACAAAGCCCAAAAGTTAAGTCTTAAGTTGGCATTCCGTCACATTCCCTGGTTTTTTGTTTTGTTTTTTTGTCATTTCAAGTTAACTTTATTTTGGCATTGATTTTGGTGTCTAATATAATTTCATTTTTCAAGCAAAATTTAAAGACTGTCATTTCTACACACTTGAACCAAATGAGAAAGAGCTTTGGTGACAACTATTTTTATTAAAGTTCCTTATGCCCAAACAATAGAGCTTCATTCATCTGAACTGAAAGACAAGTTTATCAGAAAATCTGTAAGTTGTTTCACACAAATCCCCAAATGCTGTGAATTGTGCCTCTCTCCAACTCCTTTCACAGATCTGGCTTCAGCACAAAACCTGGCTCAGTGGGTTTCATGAAACCAATCACCAGATGCCATAAATATCCGGTGAGTTTTGTGTTGACTCTGAAAATACCATACACTGTACTTAATCTTTTTCATGCAATATGTTCATTAGTTTAGTTTCCACATTCCGAAAGATTAGAAGTTTCATATGTGTTAAGAGTATACATTTGAGGAATCAAAAAGACTTATTGCTTTTCAAATTTTATACAAAATGATAAGTAGTCCTTTCCATTTCAACAGTTTTACTTTCCTAAATAAAATGAAGGCAGAGATGAAAAAAGCAAAATTTAATACTGGATTGCAAAAGTCTAAAGG